TAATACTATCGTTTTATACGAGATACATCCAGATACTTTTATTAAGACAATTATTTTCAACAATACAACAAATCCATGGGTGTCACATAAAAAATTCCAAAAAATAGCACACAATAACTTAATACACAGTAAAAAATAACATATTTTTTACAAAACAAAGAGTGAAAATCATACATAATTTGTTGTTCTTAATTGTCTTAAATAACCGTTATTATAATATAATTTTCACATAAAACAATGTTGACTGTATATTGTTCGATCGATATAATTCATACTAGATCTGTTGTTCTGTGTAGTTGACTTTCGACATTACTGAAGTTGACGTGGTTTGATTGGTGAAATCTATAGAAATGATTAAGGTGGTGAAGTACATTTAAGCAATGATGAGCCATTACTTGTGATTGTAGATGTCTTTAATCTTTATTATTGATTGGATATATGGGTGGGAGTGTTGACAATTTATTCGCCCATGCCAAGATCCACACCCCACACCCACAGCAATTGGAATAAAGTTAAGGGCATGTACACGGATATCGCACAAATCTGTACAGCTCTAAAGTAGCTAATAAACAATGCAACCATGACGACATTGCAATTAGCGTTGCCAGTGCGAATCAGGATGGTTCCAGTCAAATCCTCGATCAACTGGAACCTTCATTTATGTACACCAGATAATTGAAGGAAATTCTTCTTGAAATTGATCATAAGGAAGAAGAAATTAACGATTTCACTCAATTTTGGCGCAGCTAATATGTCAACAATCTACCTAAATTAAACAACATTGCTGAGTTCGCACGTGATTATCGTTCAGAATCAGCAATTTGGTGGTACACTCGTGAGTATTTCGTCTACCAAATGCTTAATTGGTCTCTTAGAATACTAGAAGCCCATATAATTTTGAAAATGCGTTTCTTTATTCGTGATATTCATTGCCAGCTTGAAAAATTAATCAAACACCAGATCAAAAAGAATCAGAATGAGCCCTTTATTGTTTATCGAGAACAAGGATTATCCACTGCGAACTTCAAGAAACTTCAAAACAACAAAAGTGGTCTTCTGTCCTTTAATAACTTTTTTTCCACTAGTAAGGATCAAAATATTTCGCTTGGTTTTGCCGACAGTACCTCATTCGGAATCGATACAGTGGGAATCCTTTTCCAAATGTCCATTTCTTTTTCTCAGTTCACACCGTTTTTCGAATTAGTGAAATTCGAAAAACTGACAACATCTATCTGCTTTATCAAGTGGACCTTAAACTTACAACAGACGACGATCAGCAACTTCTTCAGCTCACAAAATGCATACGAAAAGAAGTTGAAGATCCGACAGGTTGGTCACGATTGGGTAAATTGCTACTAAAAATAGATCAATTTAATAAGGCCAAGGAATTCTATACCGCGTTACTGCAACGAACTTCCGACGACAGTACTAAAGTTCATATCTATCATATGCTTGGAATGTTGAAAATTGAGCAAGAAGAATACAAAGAAGCAGTTTCATTTTACGAAAAACTGGCTGAGAAGATTGTCCATTATTGGCTAATACCTACAACAACATCGGCATAACGTATGGGAACATGGGTAACTACCCAAAAGCAGTGGAATTTTTTAAGGAAGCACTTCAAATAAAGAATAAGACTCTGTCCCCAAATGATGCTGACAGGGCCCTTACCTACAACAACTTGAGCGCAGTGCATTACAACAAGGGTCACTATCTCAAAGCGCTTGAATTTTTACGAACAAGGCCTTAAAATAAGAGCAAACACTCTGCAGCCGAATTTCCTGATTTGGTCCAACCCTACAACAACATGAGCACAGTGTATAGCAGCATGTGTGAACACTCGAAAGTACTTGAGCCACACGAAAAGATGCTGAAAATCAGCGAAAAAGTTTTGCCTTCAAATCATCCCAATTTCATCTATTCCTATAACAACATTGGTAGGGTGTGTTACGAGATGAGTGACTACTCGAAGGCACTGGAAGCCTTCGAAAAAGCACTTCAATTCAGCGAAAAGACTCTGTCTTCAAATCATCTTGATCTGGCTACTTTTTTCAGCAACATAGGCTCAGCGTTTGACAACATGGATAACTACTCGAAAGCATTTGGATTTCACGAAAAAGCAAATGAAATCTGAGAAAAAAACACTGTCTTCGAATGATCCCAATTTGGCTGCTTCCTACAACAACATGAGTCAAGGGTATCTCAAAATGAGAAACTACTCAAAAGCTCTTCAATTTCTCGATAAAGTACATAAAATTTACCAACAAAAGAGAAAAAACTATGACACCAAATCATCCAGATTTGATTGAATTGTACAACAACATTAGTCACGTGTATATGAGCATGGGCAATTATTCCAAAGCACTTTCTTCTGCAGAAAAGGTGCTTACTATTCTACAGAAATCACAACATCCTCTAATTAAAACAACGTTAAGCAATATTGCCTATGTAAAAACAAAATTGTAAATTGGTTCGTTTTTGTTTGCACAATAAACTGGTTTTAATTTTTACTCGCTTTCTCATCTTATTATCGCACTCGCGCATGGTCAGAGAGACTCTTCCAAAACTACAAATACTCTTAAACTATGTTAAGAAGTTTCATTGGCTACTTCAATTGCTTAACATTGATTTTCACTCTCTGAGTTAGAAACAAAATATATCTCTCGCACTTTTGCGCTCTTCAGTTTCATTCTAGCGAAAAAAAGTTTAAAATTACATACATTGTTTTAACTTTCAAATGTAAGCAATAAAATACTTTTACTCGACACATATAAATATTATTATATTTTAATATTACTAAATCAAAATTTTAATCATGTGTCATTTAATTACTGATAGTTTCTCAATAACATCATTTGAATCGACTGAAACGATAATATCGAAGCCGATCATTCGACTCTGAAGCATTGTAAAATTTATTCTAAAAGTTGATATTATTTACATATTAATCTTTTATTTTATGGTCTGAACAAAAAGATTTTTTAGCGTACTTATCCGTTATTTTATTCTGAAGAAACGTTTCTTTTTGAACTGAAATGCTTTTTCAAGGACAATCATTCGTTTTGGGTGTGGATGTCACTCTTGATGAATAACCCTCATCTACATCCACGCCCACATTCACATTCACACCCAAATCGTCGTGGCAATCTAGTAATGAATGTGGAGTGTAGGTAGAAAAAGATTTATACATGAACCTACGCCATTAAGTGTTAGAAATATAGAATGTTATTTGACATTTTGTATTTCAAGATTTTACTTTTTTTGACATTTTGGAATTTCGAATTTTCGTTTCCGCATATTTTCTTTTGAAATTTATCTTGTTTGGACTTTCGTCTGTCGAGTTTATTTGTCAAGGTTATTACAGTAATTAAACTAATTTCACTGCCGTTAAGATTATACTCATATGTATAGTATCAGTTGTAAAACTAATGATCAAAGCAGTCATACCCGAAAAAAATGTTCTAATTAGAGGCCGTTGCACGTCGACGATAGTTGAAGGTGAACATATATAGCGTTACTTTTGTTGTTTTGTGGAATATAAAATCAAAAGAATAAATCATGATTACTCCATTATTTTAAAAGACGCTTTTTCTCCTGCTTTCGTTCTTGTGAAAAGCAGTGCTCATCAATTAGAGAAATTCGATCGAGAAAATGGTTCTACTAGCCGCAATGTACACTTTTTACGTTTTGAAAGCAAATTTTTTTCTCTTTGAAAAAAACTAGCCTGAAAACTATGGTGCTCATAAAATTACTTTTTATAAAAGTCATTCTCTTGTCGCTTTTGAGATGTAAAAAGCGCACATTTTAACTCTTCGAAATTTGTTGAAATCATCACTTGTCTATCAGGATTCTGAAGGTGTGTATGACATAACATTCGAGCCGAAACGACACTGCTTTTACTGATACATTTTTTGGATTGAGTATGATGCGCCGATCATGAATATTTGGGTTTCCGACTTTTCTATCATCTTTTAAGAGAAAAACTTTGGAAATAGCAAAAATATGTCAAAATGAAAAAAATCTCTCATATGAGAAAAAATTTAATTTTTATAAAATTTTATTGACGAAACTTTTCATACTATATCTTTGTCTTATTTCTCACATAAAACTGAATATAATGTTCATATCTTTACGACTATACCTGTAACATCTCACGATTCTATGAACCTGTTCTTTTTCGAGAACTGGTTCCAGTGACCAGGGTGTGGCTGATGGAATGTGGATGTAGGTGTCTACGGGTTAAGAGAAGAGACCTACACTGACAGCCACACCCACACCCACTTTTACCTTCAATTATATATGAAGGCCTAAGATGAAAGAAAAAATGATACACGTGTGACATCTTTTCTGTTGAAAATCTTTTGTCATAGCAAAATCGAATTTTATTAGACGACGAGCAAACTATTGCTGAATTCAATAACATCTATTCTATTCACGACAGTTCTTTTTTGAATGTTATCGCACAAGTTCAAATGAAATTTTATTTAAATAAGAAATGCAGGCTGACGACTAATGAGTTATCTTGAGCTAACAAAACTTCCCATTAGTCATTTCCATCACCGTGCTTTTTGTTGCTTTCAAATTATTGATATATATCATCACTTTTTTACAGTGTTCATTGAATTCTATTAAATAAGCGTTTTTTTCAACTTCAACAAATATATATATATATATATTTATTTAATTTATTTGAACTCATTGAAAAGTTATAAAAATTAACGTCGACTATATCTTCTGGTTTTTACAAAAATTTTCAAATCATTTAATTGAAGAAAAACTAAAGAAATTAGGATGTGGGTATGGATATCGATATACTCTTATACAACACCCATGCCCTATTTATCTTCACAATCGCTATAGACGCTCAAAGAACCCGATCTATTTGGTAATTATGGCGAATGCATAGTTGTCAGAGCAGTTGTTGGACTAAGAATCGATAAGATGACTTGAAAGTTTCTAGATTATATGATACTTATCCTTCGTCATGTATAAAGACGCTTATGACACTGAGTTTTTCAAGGTATGGAATTGGAGTTGCAGGTGCAAAGTATCTTGTTGATGCATTACGAACTAACAATGTGAATCATGAAATCATTTTGTGAATCTTATTCATTTGTAGTATTTAATACAAAAACAAAAAAGCGCATTGCCTGACAATGTTGATTCTTCCATTACATTATGTTTTTTCCACTTAGACACTCATCACGTTTGATTTTATTCAGAATGATATAAGTCCTAGAGAAACTCAACACATTGCCAAAGTATTAAGGAAGAATTTGGTTAGATTTAAACTTTCGTATCGCACTGTTACCTATTCATTTTTGCTGTATTTCGCATATGTATACAGGCAATCACAACTTTGATCCTCACTCATAATCTACTGGAAGATAATGAATTACATAGTCTTACCGGAATTTTCCAATATTCTTGGTTTATTTCATATTCATGTCATTTATTTCAAAACGACACTAGTAAATCAACAAAATTTTCATTCTTTATTGGTTCCATCCTTTACGATGGTTGAAGATATTTACAAAACTAGACGTTCAAAAAACTAAAATTGATGACCAAGGAACTCTGTATTTGGCAGTTGCACTGATATACAACATAGTAAACTATACACACTGTGTTCATTTCATAAATACATGCCTTCAAATTTTCTACGTAATGTTTTCGATCATTATATCTTCAACAAAATGTATTTGGATTTGCCGATGCATAGTATCTCACTGAATCGGTACGCCGTAACACAGTCAGTAGCTCAGGTTTTGTGTATGTTATATAGTTATTTAGTTGTCACTCCTTAGACACTTACAACATTGGTTGTATGATGCAATCTAATTGGCATCGAAATACGTAAATCTATGAATGAATTTATAGAAAAACTACGGACAAAAAAAAACACTTTGTGCAACTAAAAAACAGAATGAATAACTGACGCATATACATACACTGATATTTCGATGCTTTCACTTTTATGTATACTTCAGAGCATTACCTTCAAACCTTATTTTAATGTTTTATCATTTTTATTCTGGATTTTTATTTTTAAGCACATTTAAAGTAGTTTATCTATATAATGACTAATGACATAGAAGGAATTCAGTTCTCCTATATTATTACTTCTCATTCACTACATATGCGAGCGCATAAAAATCAGTTCGAATCTTTCGATGTCTACTATTTGGATTTTAATATCTAATAAAGGTTAAAAGTATTCCAATTCTCAATTGATTTCAAAATTTAACATCGTTTTACTTTATACATACATAGCAGCTATCCTTATTTTAGTGAACGACATGTCGTCAAATATGGTTTTTGCTTCATATACAACGAAGCTATTTTGTTCATATGATGAAAGGTTATTCATGAAGTTTTAAACAGATGGAATATCCCACATGAGTCAAGTGTATTGTGGCTCCATTTATCGCATGATAACGTTCAACTAATTTTTGATGGTTGATAATTGATTTGAGACGTTTTAATGAGAGAGAATATTCTTTCATGCCTAATGAAAATTGAAGATTCTTTACTTGTGTCAAAGAATAACAATGAACCACTATAAGAAGATCAAAATATATAAATAATTGTGATTACAGATCAATATTTGTGTTGTTTACATGGCACTTATGAACTCGAATAGAGGACTCTTTTTTTATGCTTCTACAATAAAGACGAGGATGTCTTCTGATGAAGAGTAAAAACTGGTACAAAGTGCATACTCTCTTGATCGATTGTGAACAAAAAATAAAGTAGAAAGCTGCCTTGGCACCTTATAAAGAATCTTCGGAAAATCGAACATTGCGAATTATCACGATCGGATATGTTTCAATTTTTACGGCATCAGCTCAATTTCTCAATTCATCCAAACTAATATGTTGTGGAACATCTCTGAAGCGTATTACTTGTGTGTTCAAGTACCGTCATCAGTATTCGACTACTTGTTGTTGTTCGCATTTTTTGACAGGATATTAAACCATGAATGAAGCGAAACATCGTTGTTGATTTTGCACACCTTGTGCTCTGATCCCGACAATAAGAGAAATAGTGCAGAAAGAAAAAACATAAAAAGAACAACATAACATCAAGAAGATAAAATTGTCCGTTATTAAAAGAAGTCTGGCACACTTGTCTCCAATAGTAAGGGACATCTGGCGAACTATTTTCTGAGTTCGATGGCATACAGAGTAGTACTTCCATTGAAGCGTATCACTTTAAATTTAGAAACATATTTTGCGCTAGAATGTTGATATATGGGCACGTTCATGCATGGGTAACGGAGATTGACTATGAGAAGAATATTTTTACAGGGTTTGGTGGAAAATACCGAAAAGGAAAATATCGAAAAGGCAAAATGTGGAAAAAATAGTAGGAAAATGTCGAAAAGGAAAATATAGAAGGTGAAAATATCGAAAGGAAAAATGTCGAAAGAAAAGATGCTGTAAAACACTTATTTGGATCATCTCATGTGTTATTGATTCTTGTCAAATCAGTTCATTTTCTTCTACTGTAGCGCCTATCGTAACTTTTTGGGAAAGAAACTCAACAATTCAATATAACTGCAACGATAGATGCTATATCCACATNCGTACAAAATTAAATGCATCAGCTTTAGCTTTACAACAAGAAAAACAATTAGTTTGTTATTTATTTATTTATTTATTTATTTATTTATTCTTATCTTGTTGTATTTTATAGAAACGAGATTCAGAATTAGCATTAAAACGTATTAAAACTGATATACATAATTGTTCAGCATTAATTACTGAACCAAAATTATTAACACAACGTGTTGCTGAAATTTATGCTCAATATGTTCGTGATGATGCAGTAAGTATACAAATTGTTATAATTAAACTCTCTCTCTCTCTCAGAATTAAAGGTCATGGCCTTCTATTACGGACTAGGTATTTGCTAATATTTACAGAGTTTTCACTAAGAAAAAAATAGGAGTTATGATTCAGAAGGGATGACCTCATAGCATGCCATCTGTTGTGGGTAGGGCTAAGTTTCGTTCTTTACCTCTGCTCCGGTTACCATTTCGAGAATGAAAACAAAATTATTCTCAGTCCGGATACGAAAAAAAAAAACTTACTCTCATTAAGTTTATTCTACAATCTCACTAGAAAGAATCCAAAATCACAATGAACTTCATGGTATAGAAGTATTGATAAAACAAATTGACAGAGAATCAGTGAAATATTTGTTTGATCTTGCATCGAATTAAGACTTTCGATGATGCTTGTATTTCTGACATCGTGAATGAATATGTATATAAAAGAAGACGACTTTTACCTAGTCATCAAACTTTAAATTGAAATCATTTTTGATTAATGTTCCTATTGAGTTGTTTTAACCAAGTTTCGATTCTTCTTTTCGTCAATATGATAAAGATTGATGAATACAAAACAATTAATATATAGAACTGAACTTAAAATTTTGATCTAATTTTTTCTTCTTCTTTATTTAATAGACTGAAGAAGCAACTATTGATCAAGATATAACAAAAGAATATGCTCGACAACGAGATCATCTTGAAGGAACAGTTCGAAGTCTTAAGGTAACTTCGCCTTAACTTTTTCTTATCATCATTATAATATTTTCTTTTTCTCTTCAGGCTAAAGTCGATAAAGATTCTGATCGACATAAAATGGAAAATATTCGTATCATGCAAGTAAGTTTTCTCTAAGAAAACAAAATCTTTTCTATTCTTTTTTTTTTGTTCTCATAAATAAGGAAAATGTAACATTAATCAAAGAAATTAATGATCTACGACGTGAATTAAAAACAGCTCGTGTTAAATTACAAGACTTACAAACAGCTATGGGTATAAGTCGTAAAACAGCAGCACGTACAACAGAAGAAATAGTTCAAGCATTAAATACACATCAAAATAATCATTTAGTGAAAGAAAAACAAACTGAATTAGAAAATTTAATTCAACGTCAACGAAGTGAAATTCAACGACTTAATGAACAAATTGCAAATATTGAATTAGGTACTGGTCGTACTGGTACAGCTGGTGGTAGTCGATCTCGTCCATCATCTGGACAATTACCACCAATTACATCAGCATTAACTGCTCATTGACATTAAATTGTATGCACCTGATATTCAACAGTACTAATTTCTATTTTTTTTTTCTTTTCAAAAAAAATAATAAAAATAAAAACATTTAGCCTTTCCATATATACATGAAATCTATTTTCATTTCTAATATAATAATCTACATATACATCATGATTACTAAATATGATGCATAATATATTTGATGATTTATATTCAACAGTTTTGAATAGTGTTTCATTTTAAGAGAATATTTAGAAAATTTAGATAGTTATAGTAAATTTTGAAATGAAGAGAGTATATATTCTTGCTTATGATTTTAATAGATTTCAACATATGTCGACAAACATTATAATCTATGGTTTGAGTTCATGTATATATCATGTCAATGCAGTTTTTCGGTTTATATATGAGACGTAAGATAAGATCAGCATTTTTTTCTCTTTAATAATATTATTTCTGCTTTAAATGAAAGAAATAGTAAACTCTTGAGAAAATATTAATATGAAAAACTCTAGACGTCAATTACAAAAATTGACATGTTCGTCGGGGAAAGAACACATGCTAAAAGAATATCTTTTTCTTACTTTTTTGTCTCATAGAAAATTTTTTAATGAGACTTTTCATATGATAATTGACATCATAATGTGTATAAAATAAAAAAGTATATATATATATATATTAATATTATGAAATGTTAAAAACAAACACTTCTTGTCTATTATCATATAATGATGATCCATGTTTAATTGAAGTAATTGATAATTAAGTCATCAGTAAAAATGTACTCAAAATTCAACAAACAGACAAATATGAATTTGATTTTCTGATTTATATAAAGAATATTTTACGTCTGTTACATATCTTCTTTGTGTAATAGATTGGCCAAGTTTATGAAAACTTGGCAATATGATCGAGCCTTCTTAAATATGAGTACCTTGAAAAAAGTATTCATTTTCTTGCGATATAACATAGAAGTATTATAGTGTAAACTTTTCCAACCATCTCGCGCCATCTGTTCGATATATAATACAATTTAAATATTCAAGGTGTTCATTTACAATATTAATGGTAGCTGGTTAATGATTGGTAGAAAAGTCATGTTTTATGTATCTCTTGGATAAACTCCGTAAAATTCTTCCTGTTTGTGACTTATGCCGTCATTCTGTCTTTTTCTTTTTTTTCTTCTTCTCTTGACTGCATGACTGCGTACCTAATTAGTAGTCTGTGATGAAACACATCGTGTTCTGTGTTGAAAAAAGCGCGTTTTTTTGTTTATGATTTATTCTAGATGACGGAATGTTTTTCAGCTCGTTGTCAACAAGATCGAAAATTAGTTCGACGAGAATTTAATAAATGGACAAAAAATGTATTATTTCAAATTGGTAAGAACAAGAAAAAAAAACATATATTTAATTAAATAAACAATTATTTTGTTTTCAAAGGTTTGGAAACAATAACAAAAAATCATTTTGATTTTGATGTTAATCTATTTAATCAAACAGATGGTTTGATGAAAATTGAAATTTTTATTTTAAAATATGTTTGTTTTTTTCTTATGTTAGATGGACGAATACCAATTGATTTTAATCCTAAACAAGAATGTTTATTTTGTATTAATCGACAAGAATATCATGGCAATAAAAAAGCAAATAATCAAATAAATGAACATCATCATTCAATAACAGAAACAATTATTGATGATGATGAAAATGCACCATTAGATTTAAGTTTAAAATCAACGACAAATAATTCGTCATTAATTATACCAAATAATCGAACAAATGTCAAGTTAGTATTATCAATTAATTTAATTAAATATCATTTGTACTATATATATATCTGAGATTTGGCATCATTCTAATCTTATTGCGATTCAGATAGTTCTTTACATAGATAAAAAACTGTAATTCATGGATTTGATATAATAGAAAATTTTATTATTTCATTAATTGTATATCTTGAAATAAATTTTTAATCATATCAAAGCATTGGGAATATTTTATTGTGATTATTTCTATATGTTATATGTATTTACTATAGATAAGAATTACTAACGAAAAAACTTGCCCAACTGATAAATCATTTTTGAGATGAGTCATAGATTTTCCTTTTCGAATTATAAACCATTTTCGTGAGTAATCCTTTTCAAATCATCTTCATAATCAACTTTCAATCTTGCACAAAAAAAAAAACATAATATTAATATATCACGATAGGAAGTATTAGAAATTCCTTTGTACAAAATTTAAACTTGGAAGTCATCTAAGAAGAATCACAGTTTTTGTTGTTCAAAAATTCACTAAAATAAACATAACAAAACACAAAAAAATAATATCCATGAGTACGAAACTTATAAAGTTTTTTCTAGCTTATCTAATAATGTAAAATTCATCTCCATACATGATTTATTATTGAGGAAAATTTCCTTATAAATCTTTTCATTGTTAATGTCATGAAGTTCGTTTTTACAGTATGAAAGAATAGAATCATGTTGACAGATATACAGGACAAAGATCTCGACAAGAGTTATTCAAACCAGACCTAAAGACTATAGTTAAATATTTTATGGTTTTAAGAGAGATGATACAAAAAAGTGCTAGTCATCTAAGAAATCTGTAGGGTGTGCTAGCTACCAAATACAAAAAACAATGATTTCCTGTGTTCGTGATGACTATCCAATTTCG